GAAAGGCCATATGCAAATGTCCTCAGTTTCTAGCTTAATAAACTATAAAAAGAAGTTGGGGAGATGTTGGCCAAAAGATACAAATTTTTGGTTAGACAGGAAGAATAATTTCATGAGATCTTCTATACAATATAGCAACTATGGTTAATAGTGGTATGTTGAACTTTTTAAAAACTGTTAAGAGAGTTTAAGTGTTTTCACCACAAAATTATGAGTGTGAGCACTGATACATTTGTTAATTTGCTTGATTTAGCAATTTCACAATGAATACATAATTTGAAAGTAATTGTACATGACAAATATATGCAGTGTTTCTTTGTCAAGTAAATAAATTAAAAAGGGAACTAGAAAAAGAAGAACAAATAACACCTAAAGTAAGGATAAGGATGGAAATAATAAAACTCAGCATGGAAATCAGTAAAACAGAGAACAAAAAAATAATTGAGAAAAACAAATAAAACTTTAAGAGCCAGTTGTTTCAGAAGATCAGTAAGAATAATAAACCACTATCCAGACTAATCAAGTGAAAAAGAGAAAAGTCTCCAAGGTTAAGAATGGGAGATGGGGCATCACTACAGACCCTACAATATTAACAGATAATAATGGAATATTACGTGCAACTCTATTCCAATAAGATAGACAACTTAAGTTAAATGCAAAACCCTTGAAAGATACAAACTACTAAAACCCACTCAAGAAAAAACAAGTAACCTGAGGAGTCCTATATCTAGCAAACAGAATTTGCAGCTAAAAACCTTCCAAGGAAGAAAGCGTCAGGAGTTGGGGAAGGATATCACAAAGAGCCAGACTATACCCTTTTAGGGGTTAAGAGGGATTTCTTCATGATCTGGTGATCGATGTATCCATAGACACACACGCAGACATGTGACCATCAAATTGTACATTTTAAACATGTGCACTTTCCTGTATGTCAATTAACCTGCAGTAAACCTGAAATAATAGAGAAGACATTCCCTTCCCACAGACTGAAAGCTCAGGCAGTCTTGCTTCCAGGTGTGCCCTTGACTGCAGCTCTCAGAACCCCAAGCAGATGCTAGGAGGCCTCAGAGCCCTCCCAGAGTGGACACACTCCTTGAGTCACCAAGGGGCCAGAGAGGAAATAGCCACTGTCCTTTTCTCTCTGCAAACACAGTAGAATTGTCCTTCAGGAAGCTCTGCACAGGCCCTCACCCAAACAGGGCCGCAGTTGGGTTACCTGTAAAGCGAGGGCTTGGACCTGGTTGCTGAGGGCTGCTGTACTGTGGGGTCCTCCAGGGAGCACAGGAACTGAGAAGTTCTGTTTTGGACTGGACTCTGCTCACCTGGGAACAGGAGGCCTGGGTGTCTCCAAATCCTCAGGCACAGGGCCCCCCACCGCTTGCAAACTTTTTCCCCTGCCAAGGTCTGCTGCTTAGCACAGTGGTTTTCAGCCTCCGGCATTCCCCACGATCACCTGGGAACTCCATAAAGACGCAGCTTCCAACCGTCCTAGTTCAGGAGCTGGGCCTCTGTGTTCTTTATTAGCCCTCCCTGTGACTCAGCTACAGAAGCCTGAGAATCACCAACTTAGCATACTGGCTCTGCAGCTTTATAGAGATCAGAATAACAACAGCTTTTTAAAAGACAGAAGGTTCCTTTCTCCCGTGGGAAAGACAGGCTACAAAGTGGTCTGAGTGGGTAGGGGGTGTACACCATGAGCTGGCCCGGGGTATAGTGATCAATCATCCCAGTTCGCCTGGGACTTAGAGTGTCCTCAGAACACAAGACTGTCAGTGCTAAGCCAGGAAGTCCCAGGCAAACCTAGGCATATGAGTCGGTCAATCATCCAGGGATGCTTTGCCCTGCCCTGGGGTGTGGCCCTCCATTTTCACAAGCAGAGCAGGCTCAGTGGCCTAGTTCCACGCAGAGGCACTGAGGATGAGGCTGTGTTACAGCCAACTTTGTTGGCATCTCCCACAATATGGCCCGGGGAGGGGACCAGGAAAACAGACCCTGACAAGGGAGCCTCACTAACATCCAGGTCTCCATCACCACAGTGAGTGAACTGGTGACTCTCACCTTCCTCTGCCTGAGTGGAAGAGGCAGAGGGGTTAGAAGTGTAAAGGGCTGGGGGTTCCAGGAAGCACAAAACTGGACTCTGGAGTAGGGATCACCTGTTCTGACAGCCCCAGGAACTGAGGGGCCTTTTGTGAGGACCCCAGCCCATTGCCTTCCATGGATCCTCCAAGGCCCTGGCTGCAAGGCAGCCCCTCCAGTGAGCCATCCACTAATCCTCCCACCCTGAGGCAAACCGGTGTCCATGACAATTCTAGCTCTGTCCAGATGAGCACTGCAGGCAACTGAGGGCTGGTGGGAGGAGGTGTGGGGATACATCATTTCAGCAGTCCCTCTCCTGAACCCCACTCTCCCTTTGCAAGAGAACACGGCTACTCCCAGAGCATAAGGGACTTGCCAAGATCATTTGCTTTTAAGTAGTAGACTGGGGCTCTACCCACCGGATTCCTAGCCCCCCGCACCCGGAGCAGGGGGATAGGAAAGTTGAGAGGGTCCTCTGTCTCTCCAATCCCCCAGGACTCCCATCCATTCCCTTGCCTATCCCATGGCCAGTCCCCAGGACCAACCCATGGCCTCTAGCCAGGAAAGGTTGAGAACCAACTGAGGGGCCTTGTCAGTGAAGCAGAAAGCAGACCGAGATGGCTTGAATTGGTGCACCTGAGAGCCAAGTCCACGCCGCAGCCTGGCTCCTTGAGCCAATAGCAGCTCAAACAGCAAGGAGGCCAGTGGCCTGGCTCCAAAGATTGGGAGGTAAGTTGGATACAAGTCACTTCATACAGCCCAGCTATACCCCAGAGGTGTCTGCCCCCAGCAGCAAGGAGGAAGCTAGGGACAGAGGCTAGGGCCCTCCTTGAGGCCAAAGGGCCAGAGGCAGGGCTGGGGCTGACAGCAGGCCCTGGAAAAGGTCTGCACCATCCCCACTCACAAGCATCCTCGTTTCTGCTTCTCTGGGGTTAGAAGGAAAAGGGCGATTGAGTCGGGAGGGAGAAACCACAAGGGGATGTGGCTTGGAGGAAAAGGATAGCCAGCCTCAGAGACACAGTGATGCTCTCAAACATGTTTATTCTTATCAACCTAGAATACACACATTTAAATCATGCAGGATGGCTAAAAATGCAGAAAAGGGAACCCCCCGACACTCATCATCTGAGCTACCTGAGCCAACAACAGCCATGCACAGGGACAACATGGTACAAGATGCAATGGCCACTCAGTGGCCGTGGTGGCTGCAGGCATCAGGGTAGTATCATGGCTGAGGTCCACCACAGAACCAGCCGGAACTGCTGCACCACCTACGCCCCAGTTCTCAAGTCAGTTTGAGAGGTGGCCACAGTGGCGTTTACTGACCTGGCTGGCCAGGTGGCCTTCCCTTGTACAGCACTTCAGTGACCCTACAAGGGAGGAGTAGCCCCCCTCCCTGTGCAGGTAAGGCACAGAATCACCCAGTAGGGAAATGTCCTAGCTGACTTCAAATCAAGGCCTGTCAGACTCACCTCAGCTGCCTAGCAGGTCCCCTGAACACTAGGCTGTGGAGGCTGGGAGCTTTGGAGGCCTTCCTTCATCTTAGAGGTTCACTAGACCAGCGGGCCAGCCCATCTCCCAGGCAGACAGGACCTGGTTCCACCTGGAGGTGGGAACAGAGGGGCCCTTTGCTCAAGAGGTTCCCTCCCAGGAGCACCTAAGGCAAACTCACCCCAGACTTTTCTGGTGGGCGCTCCCTACCTAACCGCAGAACACGAGGCCCTAAAAACGCCACATGAGGGATGTCTCCACCAACCTTCCTCCCATCCTATTTTTGGTTCTCACTGGACCCCTGCCCCGCCCAGTGGACAGCACAGCGCTCTCCGCTGTCCACCAGAATTCCCAGCACTCTGTCCAGTCACCAGTTCTCAAGAAGCCCCGGGGCAAGGAGCGCTCTTTAACCTCGAGAGGACTACTGCCAGGTTCCCTCAGGAGAGTTTCGGCAACGGTGCGGGCCCTGGGGCGAAGGAGGGTGGCGAGAGCGTCTCCAGGCCGGCTACGCGCCAGGAGCGTGGGCGACCCAGAGCCCCTCCACCCCAGCGGTTCCCAGAGCGCGGCACAGTCCCGCCCAGCCACCTCCCTACTGCACTGGGTTCTCAGGCCGTGTGCGCGTCCAGGGTCGCACGCAGCAAGTGGTGGGGGTGGGAGTGGGAGTGTGGTGGGAGGGTAGCTCGGGTCTTAGGTTTGCTGCGCGCGGAGCTCCGCCACGCTGGGGGTCACGGAACCAGGTGCTTGGGCTCTTCTCCGGCGGCCCCTGTCGCGCCCGTGACTCTGACCTTGACCGCGTGCTACGCGTGGGACGCCCCGTAGATGTTGTAGCCGTTGTTGCCGCCGCCGCCGCCAGGCGCACCGGATCTAGTGGTCCTAAACATTTCACAATTGCGCTACAGAACTGTTGAACTGTTAAGAACCACTGGACCCAGCGCGCGAATCCGCGGCACCCTGGGTTCGACGCGCTATGGAGAGAGAAGCCCGTGCTGCCCTTGGGACCGCCCGCGTCGCCCGGGGATTCCGGGGTGACGGGTCCCTGCTCCCTGATTGCCGCCCGGCTGTAGCCGTCCGCGCCTTCTCGCCATTGCAGGCGCTCCAGTCGCCCCGGCCGGGCTCTGGGCGCAGCGCAAGCGCAGCCGCCCGGCCCAGCCCTGCCCGCATCGCCCGTCGTTGGCCGAGCCCCCGCCGACCTCAGCGTCTTCTCGTCCCGCGGGCCCCGCGTGGCCGGAGGGCTGCACTCTGTGCGGCAGCGGCCAGCCCGACGGCGCCTTTTATGCGGCGCGGCCGCCCTCCTCGGCGCCGGAATGCGCCCGCGCCGCGCTGGCCCGACCGGTTTTTCCGGGCGGGGAGGCTCCCGGGCCCCTGGGTCGCGCGGCGGGTCGTCCACGGCCTAGGGACCTGCTTGGCGCGCCCCGCGCGGGGGTGGCCCTGACTCACCCGGCGTTCAGCCCCGCCCGGCGCCCCCGCCTCCAGCGCCCAGCCTGGGCGCACCTGGCCTGGGGTTGGCGCTGGGGAACGTGCTTGCCCAGTCTCGCCTGGGACCCGGGACGCCCAGGCTCACTGAGGGAGGCCACATTGATCGAGTTGGTGTCCCAGGTGGCCCGGGTAGGAGAGGTCCAGAGAGGGACAGGGTTCGCACTCTGGGTGGTGGGGGTGAGGGCGGGAGCCTGGGCCGGACACGCCCATCCCGTCCGGCGCACTTCAAAGGGAACTTCGTGGGAGGGGAAGGAGGGAATAAAGAGAAAGTGAAACTGGAGGGAGGGAGAGAGGAGGAGGAGCAGCCCAGCAGGTTTCTGCTTCTCAGACTCTTGCCTCTCTGGGGGAGGGGAAAAGAGGACACCCCTGAACCCACACCTCGTAGTCCACACTGGGACCCCCTGCCTGTGCTCTCATCTCCGACGTAGGAGGAGGCCGGCCCCCTGGCCTGCCTGCAACACACGCAGCAGGAGCCTGCACCTTGACCCCAGCACCGAGAGCCCCGTGTGCTCTCGCAAGCCTGGAGGCGCGGTGCAGCCTCCAGGGATCTCGGTTTCGGTGCAGCCCGTTGAGGCCCATCGCAGGCAAACGGAGCTCCGGCTTTAGGAAATAGGGAAAGTTTGAGGAAGGTGACCTTCTGGATCCCTGCTCTAGGTCTTGAGCTGCTGGTGGGCAGCACGGAGTGGTTATAATTCATTCAAGTCCAAGGCAGCTACCCAGGGCCAGCCCAGAGACACCAGTGTGCTCTGTGCTTGGGAACCACAGCTTGGACCCAGGCCAGAAGGCAGCCACCAAGTTGTGAAGCAGCCCGTAGATGTTGTCATTTGTGCTGGATGTAGTTTAATTATTTGCAACCACCCTGTAGCATGAAAAGTGAAGGTTTTGTTATTTACATTTTGCAGTTGGGGAAACTGAGGCTCAGAGAGGAACAGAAACTTCTCGAGGTTCCACAGCTCTTGGCAGCGGAGAAGACTTGCATGCATGGCACCAAGTGTGTAGGTCTGAGGGAGTGCAGTCAGGGTGGGGGCACAGAGCTTATGATCAACACACACACACACAATTGGGCTGGAAGAACCCACCTCTCTTGTTCCCAGTGTTAAACTCTAGAACAGTACAGTCCCCTGCAGATCTCAGCACAGGTGGGCTGTCCCCCTTCAGCAAAGGTGGGCACTGTTGCAGCCTCAGAGAAGACAGTGCTGGGTAGGTGACCAAACACAAGCCCCCTGCAGCAAGAACTACTGAGGTGTGACCAGGAAGGGAACGGCTAAGCATACAAGAGAAATCTGGTTACCTGTATGTAGCTGGGAAGAGGGTGGCCCTGGAGGGCCCCTCCGCTATGAAGTCTGATTCTAGGATAGAAAACGCTGGGAAAATGTAGATAGTGGGTGCGATGAAAGGGAGATGTTCCCCAGAGATAGCCCCGGCACCCAGATGTTTGGTGATGGGCTGTGGGAGGCCTCCCCACAGTGAAATTACCAGGTGTGAGCAATGCTACCCTCAGGGGAGAAAGCACCCCGGGGCTCAAGCCACCTCCCACACACCTCAGCAGAGCTGAGCCACTGAGCCACGCCTGGTCCACATCTCACACCCTCCCACAGAGGAGGTTGGCCCCGGCAGGCAGACTCACCCCAGCTTTGCCAGGCCAGCATGGGGCCCTGAGCACAGGCCTGGGCAGCTCTCTGCCTCAGTTTCCTTGGCTGTAAAATGGGAGGATGAGCCAGTGCCCACCTTGAGGACCTGTTGGGGACAGCAGGCAAGCACATGGCTGTGAGCCCTCCACGGTGGTCATCCTTTGCAGCACTTCCCATTATCCTTGCTGCTCATCAGTGGCTATCAGAGGAGCTCACATACCCCTGGCAGGCTGGCCTCTCCCCAAGGACACCCCTGGAAGGTCTCCATACAACATCTGCAACTATCCAGACACTGGTGGGTTCAGGAACTGTCTGTGGTCAGGCTCTGAGTCCCACTAGTGTATGGAGGGCCTAAGAACAGGTCTCAACTACCCAGTCCTTATGGGGAGTCCCCTCACTTGCCAGGCTGCCAAAGCTTCCCCTACCCCCTTTTGCCCCTGTGTGTCTCTGTTGAACCCATCTGACCCACTTGGGGGAGAGCCAGCTCAGACTCCCTGTGGACAGCAAGGTAAGTGGGTGTTCCACATCGGCAGGTCCACACCTGCTCTGGGAGGGTCTGCGGTGTGGGGTAACATGAGCCACCTGCAGCTTTCACAATGCTGAGTGTGCCGTGGCCAGGAGCAATGGGTCTGCTGGTACCTCAGAAGCAGAGTAGAGACATGGGTGTCTGGAGAGCTGCTACTGTAGACATGAGGGTGACTCCAGAGGTTGGCTCAGCCTCTACCCCTCCACCAGGCATTTTCTGTTTTCTGCCCCGCTCTGGCCTCCTGAAGGCCCCAGCCCACCAGTGAGAGCAGGACCCTTGGCTTGGCTCTCAAGCTCCTATCCCCTTCCTTGCTTCTGCACCCCCCCAATCAGGGCTTCATGAGGGTGTGGGGCACAGGCTTCCGGGCCCTCCCATGCTCAGGTGGCATTACCTGGTTGGGTAAGGCCTGGGCACACCTGTATCTGGGAGAAGAACTGGGAGGCTGCCAGGGCAGTGCCAGCTGGGGCCTGGGAACCAGACTGAAAGCCTGGGGTGTAGACAGAACAGCCCCACCTTGGCCCACCTTGGTGCCAAGGGCCAGCTCTTGGGGGGTCACACGTTTGCCCAACATCCACAGGGCTCAGTCCTGAATCCCAGTCCACAGACAGGCAGACAACTGGGAATCAAGTGGACACAGATAAAAGGTACCTTAGTAGCTAGGCAGAAAGGCCCCGAAGTTGGAAGGTAGCTCCTTAGTCCTATCAAGGAAGGCCAAGGGCTGTATGTGACAGGGGAAATGGTCATGGTTCACATTCAGGGTCTGAGCCTGGGGTGGGCCCTGTCTCTGAAACACTTAAAAGTTTGGACAAGAACTGACCAGGAAGCCAGGCACTGGTGGCTCACACCTCTAATCCCAGCTACTCAGGAGGCAGAGATCAGGAGGCTCATGATTTGAAGCCAGCCTAGGCCAAACAGTTCACGAGACACTATCTCAAAAAAAAAAACCATCAATAAAAAGGGCTGTGGAGTGGCTCAAGGTGTAGGCCCTGCGTTCAAACCTCAGCACCACAAAAAAAAAAAAAAAAAAAAAAAAAACCTGACCAGGAGTCCAAACAAACACCTGACTTCAGTCCCAATCAGGCCTCTCCAAAGCATGAGGCTACCCACCTGCCTAGGGGCACACCTGCAGCAGAGCACCTGCCCACCCCCCACCCAGGCTGGCACAACGCAATCTGCACAGGAGACCTCTTTCCTCTCCCCAGCGGGCAGCCACCTGGCAGCCTGGCTTATAGTGGGTGGTGGATAGACCCTGCTGGGGCCCGCTGGCAGAGTACCAAATCCCCCTTTGGCTCCTGGCCTCCATCAGCCCCTCTGGAGTCCTGGAGTGCCCCTGCCATACAATGAGGAAGGGTACAGAGATGCTAGGGTTATGGCAAACAGGCAGCCACCCAGGAAGGAGCTGGGAGGCCCCGGGGTAAGCCGGAACAGCATGCAGTCCAGGTGGGTGGGGGCTGCCTGGAGAAGGTGATCCAATGACGTAACACCTGATGAGGATTACGGTGTGAGGAGATGGGACAGAGCAAATGGTGGGGAGGAGGGCAAGTAGGACAGGAGGATGGCACGCCCAGGGTTCCCTCCCAGTGTCACAACCACCTAATCAGCAGCCTCCGGATGACTGGTTAGTGTTCTTCCAGTCCCCAGGGTGCTGCAGAGATGGCCAGAGCCTGGGGCCCCACTCCCCACCCAGACCCACAGTGTCAGCTCAGACAGACCCATTCAGCCAGGCTCTGGGGACCTGGGGAAGCAGCTGTCCCCGCAACTTTATTGCCACTCTGCCCAACAAAGACCTTCAGGCTTTGCCATGGAAACAGACTGGAAGCAGTCCTAGCAGTGGGGACACATCGTCATCAGAAGGTGTAGATGTGTTCCTGAGGACCCTCCAGTAGGTCAAAGCAAGAACAGCTCAAACTGCAACAGGATGGCTTCAGGTTAGACATCAGGCAGTATTTCCTGAAAATGTGAGATCTGCTGAGAATGTGTAGAGCCCCAGGTAGAGTACAGTGGCTGGGTACCCTCATTCTCCAGTACCATCTGTGGGGTCCAGCCCTTCTAGGTATGAGGGATCCCAGCCAGCCTCAAGACTCTCCAGGAGTGCCAGATAATGGAGTGGGAGTGGGGTGACAGCTGGGGCCTGGCCTGAGAGACAGGCAGAGCACCAACCCCATGGGCCCCCGGGACAGGCAGGTGGGCAAGGTGTGCATAGAGAGGTCTGGAGTGGTGGCAAGGACCCTCCAAGGTGGGGTCAACCTAGCTGGACAGAATGCAGGTTTGAGGTGGGTCTTCCCTCCACAAAACCCCCCAGATTCCCTCACACCCCTGTCCCCAGTGTGCTCCTCCCAGAGTCCCACAGGAGGGGCTCCCAGATCCCGACATTGACTCGTCTCAGCCTCCTCAGACTCTAGGACATTACAGGGCCAGGCTCCACCACAGGCCAATGGGAGCTTACTAAAGGGACATCAGCCCAGTCCGGGGGGTTCTTACAGGGCCCGGGGCCTGGATGCCAAGCCTCTGCAAAAGGGCCACCACCTCCAGGTTTCCAGTTGCTTCCGCCTGAAGGGGAGACAAAACGCTGCCTCAGGGCCCAGCAGCACCTCAAAAATCTCAAAGGCCCCACCCACCAGCACTCCTTGCCCCCCCCACAGGGACCCCTGGGGCTCCCCCATTCTTAGCATCCCCACAGCTCCAAGCCCAGAGGGGCCTTGGAGAGGAAAAGAGGGGGAAAGACAACCCATGGGCTGCTGTTCCCCCAGAAGGGCTGGGGATCCTGCTTCTTGGGAGGTGGGTATCTGGGAGGGGGCAGAGAAGGGAGAACTGGGGGGAACAGTCAGGGTGGCTGTTCACCTTCAGGAGGTGGACGCCTCCCGAGAAGGCACAGGAGGTGGGCTACTCACAACATGCAAGGCACTGCGCCCATCATAGCCTTGCTGCCCCAGGTCAGCTCCCGCCTGCCACCAAGCCTGCAGGCCTTCACTGTCTGCCCTGAATGCCAGCCTGCAAGCGTAGAGAGGGAGCTGTCAGGGCCTTCTGGACACCTGTCCATCTGCCCACCTGCCTATCTGCCTGCCCCTCCTGATGCCCTGGGCACTTTTTCCAAGCCAGCCCCAAACAGCTGACCCAGCAGAACCCAGCCCTAGGGCAGGAGTCTCAGGCCAGGCGGCCTGGAGTCTGGTTTCACAGTGGGTGTGACTGTGACTCAGGTCAAGGGTGCACACACTCGCACACGCACACAAGTGCACAAGTGAGCATGCACACACCCTCCACCAGTTTCATATTTCACAACACAAGCCCTCACTGGGCTGGGGCGGGGTTCAGGAGTCATGAGGAGAGTCTGGGGTGGCACAGTGGCTCCAGAAGGGAGACTTGGGAGGTGCCTGAACCCCAGCAGACTACATGGGGTGGGGGTTGGACAAGGTTCCCAGAACCCTGGCCAGCATTCTCACCCTCCACTGCTCCCAAGAGAAGCCCTCTTACCACTCTGGGAGCTGGGCTGGGGAGAAGCTGGGACCAGGCAGAGGTAGGGCCCACTCCAGGTGAGCTGGGGGTCCAGGGAGGGAGGGCCCCCCCCCAAGAGGGTCTCAAGTGACTCCACTCCTATCAGGAAGCATCCACAGCAGCACCACAGTGGCGCTGGGTAATTTCTGTTGTGAATCACACCAGATGGCATGGCTAGTCCTCCTGGACCGGCACCTACGCCTCCCACACAGGGCTACCTAAAGAAGAGGCTGCACCCACACCTCACTCCTTGGATGTGGAGGCCCCAGCCCCACCCCATCCAGCCAAGCAGCTCAGGTTGGCAGAGTCCCTAATGATGGTTCTGCCCCAGTTCCATAGGACCTGTTTACTGCCTCAGTTTCCCCTACGGTGCAGCCCTGGACCAAGTCACCCCAGAAGTCCCTTCAAAGCCAACAGCCAACATCGGCTTCAGCCCTCTCATTGCCCCCCACCTCACTCCCACCTCACCTCTGTTAACTAACCTCTCATTCACCCCTCCATTACTGAGAAAGGCAAACGGAGTGGGAGCGGTGAGGATTGGCAAGCAGCACTTGTTCCCCTGGTGCACTGTAGGCCAGTGCAGGGGGCTGAATCTGGGGCCAGTGTGCCTCTCCACCTGACCTTACACTTAGTGCTGGGGGCCTCTAAGTTTGGGGGCTTCCTGACATATGGGGACACACCCACAGTGTCTACAGCATCAGCTACCACCCTGCACCTCCAGCCCAGGTTGTCTGTCTGTCTGTCTCTCTCCCTCCCTCCCTTCTCTTCCTTGGCAGGTACTGGAGTTTGAACTCAGGACCTTGGGCTTGCCAGGCAGGTACTCTCCTACTTGAGCCACACTCCCAGCCCTTTTTGCTTCAGCTGTTTTTCAAATTGGCTCTTGCTTTATGGACCAGGACAGCCTGGTCTGATAGCTGGGATGACTTGCACACAGCACCGTTCCCAGCTTTTTATTGCTTGAGATGGGATCTCACCAACTTTTTTCCCCAGGCTGGCCTGGAACCTGGATCCTCTGGATCTCTGCCTCCTGAGTAGCTAAGATTACAGGCAACACACACACACACACACACACACACACACACACACACTGGACTGTTCTCTCAGTTGGGAACAACCCCCAGAATACGGCCTGGGTCAGATACCTCTGCCCATCAGTGCTGGAGCATGGGCTCTCCCTGCTCAGCCCCATACCCTGGCTGACCTGGAACCCTGAGCCCACAGGTGCCCTGGCTGCCCTCACCTGCACAGCTCCGTCCCAGCATCCTCCAGCTCCTGGGAAGACAGGCAGGCCCCAGCTTCACGCAGCAGTCCAATGACACCCTGATGCCTATCATGAAAAACAGCATGCTGACCGTTGGCCCCACCAGGCTGGCACACGGCTCCCTCTGCTCTCATGTCCTGTGCACAGGGACCAGGACCTGCCTGCCTGGGATCCCACAGCCCTGGCCCTAGACAACGGCTGCTCCCCAATCCCTTGCCCAGGCCAGGTGGAGCCATCTTTAAGGCTCATGATTCATTTGTTGGGGGCACCTTCTCAGGACATCTAGGGTCTGCATCTAGGGTCAACATCCAAACAGTGGATGTTGTCCACTGTTTGTCCTCCATCCAAATAGTGTGCCCCATGGTCTCCCCAGCCTATCCTTGGGGGATGGTGCCCTGGAGGACAGCCAGCCCCAGTGTGCTCTGAACACTTGACCTCCCTGGCAGGAGGAGAGAGTTGTCCTGGCTCTAGGGCAACTGAGTCAGTTATGCCCTGATTCTGCTCTTGGGTATGGGGTGGGGGGATGAGGCCCCACAGACAAACGTAAACTTGGGGTCTGCCTGGCCCAGAACACCATGACGGGAGCCAGAGCCGTTTCTGGAGGCAGCTTTGCTGAATCGAGCCTGGAGGGGAAGTGGCCTGCTGGGGTGAGATGGAGCGGGGGCTCAAGCAATGCCAAGGAACATAGTGTGAAGTCTGAGGCTGCACAGCAAAGTGCAAGAAGGGTCGCCCAACTCTTGCACCACAGTTGCTGTGTTCTATTCCTCTGCTAAGTGTGGGGATACCCTAAACTACATGGCACCCCACTTTTATGTAACTTTGGAGGAGTATGAATGGAGGCCTGCCCTCCCCACCTACTGCAAAGCCCCTAGCCACTCAGGTGCTGCAACAAGACGGGACTGGTGTTGGAGTGTGGTGACAGCTAGGCAGGACTGGTGAGTTAATCTGTCTCCACCCACCCACGCCCATGGGCGCCCAGTCAGAACTCCAGCCCAGATCACCCCAGGGGTGCAAGGGTCACCCCGCAGCCCCTAGACAGAAGGCTCAATGTCCTCACCCCCACTAGCACTCTTGGCTGGGGAGGGGCCAAGACTCTACACCACAGTCAGCGATCCTGGGCTCAGACACCAAGGTCTCCCTTGGAAGACTCACAAAAGCACTCTCAATAACCCAGGGCCTGCAGGCCATGTGCCCCTAGGGAGAAATCCCAGGGAAAAGCTGGGTCAGGAGCTTCAGACAGTCGAGATGGCCCTGTCAGACAGGTCCGTCTCACTAGATCACATTCAGTGTGCTGCCTCTGGGTCCACAGGCAATGGAGGGCACAAATGAGAAGAGGCACACAGGGCCTTTGCTCAAACCAAGTAGGTATCCTCTGTCCAGCCCCCGCCCCCACCCACACATCCAGTTCTGCAACCAGGTCCCAGGCACTACCTGCCCCTCACAGCCAGCAGCAGTGGGCTATGGCCATCCTCATCACGGGAATTCACGTCCACACCTCTCCGCAGCAGCATGGTGACCAACCCTGTGTGGCCCCTCCTCGCAGCCAGATGCAATGGTGTTTGACCAATAGGATCCTGCAGACTCAAGTCACTGCCCTGAGGTGACATTAGGGCACACGCCTGTATATCGGGGCCTGGCACGTCACTGGGAAGGGATGGGGAGGGTGGAGTGTGCCCATGAAGGTGGGGTCCCCGTAGCCACTGTGCCTGCCCCCCTGGGCCACGGGATCATGGCAGACACGGGCTTGGTGGGATCAGTGATGCCCTGATGGATGGTGTTCTGCCCACAGTAGGTAGCACTCCCGCCTGGTCCCAAGGTGGGAGAGGCTCACCAGCTCCATAAGAACCTGCAGAGCCTCTAAGTCACCAGTGTGGGCTGCAGCAAGGGCCAGACTGGGCGTCAGGGAGGCCCGCACAGCATCAGCTTCCTAGGTGAAGGGGGTGGCATCTTGGGCTCCTGCCTTGTTCTAGGATCCTCAGTGAGCAGAGCCGGTGGTCCCTGTACCATGTGAACCCTGCCTCCTCACTCAGTGGGGTAGGGAAATCGCACCACACAGAGAAAGAGCCAGCATCACCACATGGAAAGCCTGGGGCTCAAACCTCACAGCCCTGCCCAGAAGTTCACCTGGTCCCCATGCCCTTGGAACAAAGGAAGGTTGGGACACCGCCTCACCAGTCATGTGTCTAGGACCTGCCACCACCCTCCAAGATCCATGTCCTCACCTGTCCCCTCTCCTGACAGGGATAGAACCCTGACAGCCCTCGAGGGAGCAGCCCTCGAGGGAACCCTCCCCTTCCCCCCCACCCCCCGCAAGAAGACCCTACTTCACACATCTGAATGCACCTGGAAGGGCCACTTGCCTGAGCTTCCAGTTGCCCAGGGCTCCCCAAGGCACCAGAAGGCCCCAAAGGTGCCACCCCATTCAGCACCCATGGCCCAGCCTGATCACAAAGCTGCTACTGGCTGGCTGTGCCCCAAGAGGCATTAGGAGCCCCAAACAGCCACCCTAATAACAGGCCACACACCCAGTCCCTTTCATCTGACCACTGCCCACCTCAGCAAGTAGCAGTTAGCCCCACCTTGGCTCAAGACATTCAGCAGAGGGAAAGGAGGCCCAGAAGGCCCATGGACTGAGGCAGTTCAGAAGCAGGGCGCTGCCACCTGCCGGACTCTGGCACCAGGCCTGGATGCTTGGCCCAGAGGCCAGGTGGGTGTGTTGTGGGGTCCTCAGCTGCCCCTCCCCCTCCTGGTTGTAGCTATCTGATCATGAAGGGGGAGGAGACTCAGGCTGGACCACAACCCCAGATACAAGTGTGGGACCTGGAACTTTCTGGCTCAGAGTCTGACAGACCCCCTTTCCTTTAGCATCCAGGACAAGCACTGTCTCTGCCTTGCTTAGGTGCAACCCAGCTGTAAGGCAACCCTGCCTTCAGGCCAGCACTGCCATGCACCACCAGAAGCTATATAGTTTCTGCTCCTATCCTGTTCTGTGGACCCTCCAAGTCCTCCCCACAATGGACCCCATGCCCTCTTCCTGGGCCGTTGCAAACAGCTGTTTCAGCTCCTGTGCTGGAATGACAGCTACAGTGGCTGATGCCTGGCACAGCCCATAGGGATGCAAGGCCCCTGACTGCCTCCTGAGCCCCCATCACGCCTGCCCACCTCAGGCAGTACCTGGCTACCACCGAGACTGAGAAGCCAGGCCACCCTGCGGCCCAGTATGCTATCCTGCAGTGAGGACTGACGATCAGCTGCCATTGGCAATGTCATCTCCCCTCGAAGGTCCTTGACCAGGAGCTGGAAAAGAAGGACACACAGGCCAGCAGGCTCAGCCAGGAATCCAGAGCAGCTGAGAGGGGCAGGGCATGGGGGAGGGCTGCCTCTGGCCTGGAACCCTATCCTCATGCTCCATTCATCCGTGGGACTGAGTGTGACTGAGGCCAGTTCCCACACAAGATCAGCCTTGCCCTCCACCCTACAAACTCTGGCATCTTATGGGCCTGGGGCCAGCTGTGTCTGAGGCCCACTTAGGAATGGGGAAGCAGGAGAGGGTGTCCAGAAGCAGTGTGGGAGTCTCCACCTACACGACCGGAGGCTCCCCAGAAGGGCAAGAAGAGGGTGAGCTTGAACAGGGGGTTGGGCAAGGGCTAGGCTGCACATGGCTCTTTCCTCCCACAGGGCGCCTTCATCCCTGCCCCATCCTAAGCAGCACCCCCACTCTTCCTGAGTCTCCCAGATAGGCTCTCAGGAGCCAGAAGACATGCATGTGCACAAACATGTTCTTCAGTCTGTGCCACAGCCCCATGATTGCACATACCTTCTTCCTGTCCTCCAGGCTCAACCCGGCATGGCCCAACACATATGACAGCTTGGCCAGAGCAGCCTCTGATGTCATGTCAAAGCCTGAGATGATGCCAGCTCCCGCCATAGCCTGAGGAGGCCCACACAGGGCAGAACGAGCAGCTCAACCTGGCCCCCACATGGGCTTCTTTGCTCCATCCCACGCATACAAGGTGTGAAGCAAAGCCTGGCCCACCCATTATCCCCCAGGTGTGTCCTCCCTCCCCAGGCCTCTGTTTCCCACTCCTACCATGCCAGATGCGTAGTCTGAAGTCACAGCCCCCTGAAGGCAGTGGGTACAGTTGACAATGATCAGGCCGCGCTTGGCCGCCACCCGCAGCTCCTGCAGCAGGTCTGGCTTGGTAGGCCCATTCCCTGAACCAAAGGTCTCCATGACCACACCTTTCAGGGGGGGCTGCAGAAAGGCCCGAACCTGTGGTGGGTGGTGGGGCAGGGCAGAATGGTAACCACCTCTATTTCTTATGCCAGCAGCTGGAACCAAAAGGGCCTGCCCTGTGTCTTCCCAGTGTAGGCCCAGAAGAGCCTGAATTGTCAGCAGCCAAGCACCCACTTCACTCCCAGGGTGGCTGGGCTCTGAAAAGACCTGTGTGCAGCTACAGGTGATGGGGGGAGCTGGGGAGTGGGGGCTGACCAGACTACATTGCCCTCACTTGTCCACAGAGTGTGGGCCAAATTGGCAGGACTCCCAACACTGTGGAAATATGTAGGGAAGTACAGTTAGGGCCGGATAGGGCTGTCACCAGACCCAGGTGCTCTGTCCTGCCGGGTATTCAACAGGGTGCTCTAGTGAGCTGAACTAGGGGAACTGATGCTATGCTAACATGCACACAGTGCTTTCTGGGACCACTTAAGCTGGGCACCAGCCCTGCCCACATCTCCACCAAGCTGGAAAGCTCTACTCAGATGACAGAGGATAAGGCCTTGGTTCCAGTCAGCATCTCAGAAACAGGGAAGACAGACACCTCTACCACTGCAGGAATAGCTGGCAGCTGAGCAGTTGATAGCAGGAAGAAAAAAAAGGACCATCAAAAAGCAGTGACAAAAAAAGAACAGAGTCACAGTATTTAGGAGGCTGAGGCAGGGAGGATCTTGAGTTTGAGGCCAGCCTGGGCTGCATAGCAAGATCCTGTCTAAAGAAAGAGGAGAGGAGAGGAGGGGAGGAGAGGGAAGAAGAGGGGGAAACAAGGGAAGGAAAGGGAAAAGAAAAGAGGAGGAAGAGAAGAAGAGTTCTGGAGCCACTCTAGATCAGCTTTGGAGAAATCATCGGGCAGCACCCCCAGGAGTCCACCAGCATTTTCTGGTGTCCACACAGACAAACCCTCAGCACATAAGGTAAGTGGGCTCCAAAGCCTCAGCTTAGGTGGCAGTGAGGGTGCACAGCTTCATGGCCCTTCGTTCAGGCCATACCTGGCTGTGAGGATGAGAGGTGCTCTCCATTGCTGGCTTGTCATTTTTTGGATGAATGGGCCTGAGAAAGGCCTAGAGCAAATGGAAGCGGGAAGGCAGCACTGGGGAGCCATGGGGCTGTGGGAGCGTTTTGGGCACACTCAAGAGCCCTGAGTATGGAGGCATGGGAGCCACAGAGGGCGCTGTAGGGGCAGCAGGTGCAGAGTGAGCAGTGCCTACCAGAGAAGCAGGAATCCCGGGATAAAGGCGCAGAAGCCCCACATCACGCTCCATGCAGCTGTGTACTGCCAGTGGGTCCTTCCCACCCACCTTCCGCACAAGCTCCCTGTTGACTGAGGACAGAAGGTCAGAATGTGGGGATGGCCTGCCACCCTCTGTTTTCTTAACCCAAGTCTCTCATGCCCACTCTCCTGTCCTGCCTTTCCCCAGGAGCCAAATCTTCCCACCTTGGGCTCCCTTAGGCCTGTGTCAGGCTCTGTAGCAGGGCCAGGACCCTGGAGGAGGTACGAAAGAAAGATTGATGGCCAATCAGTGGTTTTGCATGTGACAAGGCTGATGGGGTTGGGGTTAGGGATCAGGGATGGTGAGTGAGGGCGAGTAGGACTCTCAGAAGCAGACCTGGCTGAGCCTTGTGGGCTGCAAAGGAGCGTTCAGGGAAGGGAACAGCATTCCAAGTAGAGAGACTGACACAAGCAAAGGCTGGAGCAGCAACTGACATGCACAGCTTTGAGTCAAGCAGTCTGCATGTCAAGTCCCAGGGGAAGTCTGGGCAGAGCTGGGCACCTAATGTGCCTACTGCCCATCAAATGAATGAATGAATGAATGTTCTGAATCCTCAACTTGAGGAAAGAAAGGCTTGATCCAATTCCCATCCAAATCCTAAAGGCCTAGTAGTGCCCATCACCTCTCCCACACCCAAGGTGAGTGAGGGGGAAATCTGGGTCCTGGGGAAAGTGCGGAGGGGCAGGTATTTGGGGTCAGCCCCCCTTGGGCCCAGCCATGCAGAGGACCTACCAGAGGGCCAGCCCATCCACAGGTCTGAAGTCCACTGCAATCAGCCATGGGTGGGCAGCAAGCCAACCTGGAACCTTGTGAGCCCTCCACACACGGCAGCCTCCAGCCCAACACAGGTGGGACACTGGGGACGCTCCCTATATTATATGTCACCAGAAGGACCCTCCAGCTCAGCCCAGGGAAACTGAGTCCCAGGGAGGGAAAGGATCTTGCCTGAGGTGCTATGCACAGTGCCAGGAAAAAAACTTAGACTCTAAGACCCTCCTCCAGGGTTCTTCCTCCAGACCCCACAGGGGGATGTAAACCCATGTGGCCTACCATGTCTGCTGGAGCAATTCATATGTGATAATGAACAAGGGAACAGTCTGGGGCAGAGGTGGGGCACTGGGGGACATGAGGGGAACCAGTCACAGCATTTGTCAGCCCACACAAGGGCAGTTGGAGATGTCCTTGTCACCTAGGCTAGGCAGACAGGTAAGGCAGAATGTGGGGGGCAGGGGTGTGTAGAGTGGGACTGTACAGGGACAAAGGCCATCCCATGGCCATCCCTCACGTGGAGCCAGGGAAGCAACTTCTTAGAATCCCCAAGTCTTCCCCTGGGGATCTGGATCCAGGGGACAGAGAGAGGAGGGCAGCACTGCCCAGGAAGGACACAGTCTATAGCCTGTGGTCTATAGCCAGGGAACTAAGCAGGGAACCAAATATGTGGGACCCAACCTCAGGTCTGGGTGGCCTTGGGATTTCTGGGAGGGAGGTGGCGTCACAGCATACAGAGCAGGGTGCTGGCTCTGAGCTCCCTCAGCAAGGCCCACTGAGCCTGAGTGGCCTGACCCCTGGCCACAGCAATGTCCCCTCTTCCAGATCTATTTTCCTGTGGGCTGAGTGGCTCTGGCACAGGGGTGGGCTAGGCAGGCTCCAGCATGTGGGCAGCAAAGACAGAAAGATTTTCCATGTTCATGGATTGACAGAATTGATGTTGTAAAAATGGTTATCCTACCAAAACATTCTACAGATTCAATGCTAATCTCATCAAAATCCCAATGTCATTCTTCACAGAAACAGAGCTGGGGGCTTGAGACACACAGAAAGGGGCAGGGTCTGGCTCTCTCCACCTGCTGTGTCTTGCCTCAGATCAGAGCAGACTGACTGGAAGCCTCCAGGGTGCCAAGCCCTGTCTGTCACCTCAGGTGGTTGCTCTGACTCCCCACTCCCCGCTTCCCAGATGGTAATTAAAGAGCTAGTGAGAGTTCGTGGGAGGCCCTCATCTGAGGTCTCCACTAGTACAAGGGTGGGCAAGCACATGCTGACCCTTGTTCAACTCCCCGTGCCCCTCCCGAGGGCCCCCAGCAGCCCCACCCTGGGCAGAGCCTGCTTTCTCAACACGGGGTGTCAGAACCGGCCAGGCAGCCTAACATGAGTGGGGCAGGCGGGACACAGGTTCCCACACCAGCATATGTTACAGGTGGGATTGTGGGTCAGGGGCTAGGGAGTTCGGTGGGGCTGGGGTAGAGGGAGCCTCAGCTCTTGGTAGGGAAGCGGCTTGTGCATCCTGGGCATGGCAGAGGCCCTAGGATCCAGATGAAGGCCTCTCCACCCCTAGCAGACACTCCAGTGCTGAGCTCAGATGAGGTGTGACTCAGTCTCCAGGGAGCCAGAGCTGCAGGGCGGTGTCCACACCTCCACTGCTCCGCCTTCCTGGACTGCAGGAGCCTAGTGCCACCACCCAGCATGGGCAAGAGCCAGGCCCCCACCAGCAGCCCTCCAATTGCTTCAGCCCTCAGGGCGCAGCAAGTGGACCCCTAAGGCCCTGGGAATGCCAGGTATGCAGCACACACATTAGACATACTGGTGAGTTTATACCTCACCCTCCTTGGAAGGTGCTCAGGTGAGCAGTGAGGGGAAGTGGGGGAAAAGGGACATAGGGAGAGCTCCCACAGAGTAGTTGGGGCTCAGGGCTAAGGTCTTGGAGCTCCTGCCTGTGACTCTGGGGACCTTAAAGGAAGCCACCACCCTGATCAAGGCACTGGCTGCCCACATCCCATCTCCCTCACTGGGGTATCTGTTTCTCCCTAAATTGGGCAGCAGGGCAGCGCCTGCTACACCAGGAGATTCCCAAGAATAGGTCCCTCTGGGCCTGAGAAGCACCCTGTGTCTGATCCACAGGGTCTACCTTGGCCCAGGCAGAAGCATGGTGTAAGCAAGGGGCCTCCCAAAGGGCTGGGAAGCTTCAGTCACGCGGTCAGACGAGAACTGCCACTTTGGTTGTAGACAAGCAGCCCCACCCCAGCATGTACAAGAGAAGCCCAGCCCTGGCACGATGTCAAGGCCCCAAAATGCCCCCAAAGGAAGCCCAGCTCTGCTGGAGCCTCCTCTGTCCTTGAGGACAGAGGCCCCAGCACTTGGGTCCACGTAGCCCCAGGATCCCAACCTCAGTTGGGAAGCAACAAGATACTGGGCAGGTTTTGGGCTACCCGTAGGAAGCAGAGGCCAAGCAGGTAGCAGGTCACTTGGAGAGTCTATCTTACAAAGGAGTAGATGCCTCATCTGCCCCAGGTGGTCAGACCCACCATAGACCTGGAATGAGCAGGAGCCAGGGAGAGACCAGGAGACAGCTGGCCCTGAGTCAAGGATGGCAGAGGCCCCCTCAGGAGAGTGGCTGTCCCAGTGGAAAGATGGTGGGCCTAGAGTGAACCATTAGGGTGGCCCTGAGTCTCTGGCAAGGCTGGTAAGGCACTGAACTCAGAGGCCACTCTACAGCTAGGATAGGGAAAGATGGGCCAAGCATCCCCCGGGAAGCCTCAGGACACAGGACCAGCTGCAGATATCTGTTGGCCTATGAATTTGTCTGGGCTGCCCACAGACCCAGAGGACAGAAGCACTCCTTGGAGCACCTGGTTGTACCACAGGAGTCTGTACCCAAGGAATGTGTGGCAGAGCCATGGACACATTGGCTTGAGGCTATGAGATGGGCAGGACACATGGTGACACGAGACACACGAGGCAGATCCCCCAAAGCCCTGAGCCTCAAGACCCCTCAGCGGTGGTCTGCTGAGGCCTTCTGCCTCCATGCCACACTTTTCCCTTCTCCCCAGGCCTCCTTCTCACTCACAGCCAGAAACCCTGCTCTTAGATCAGCTTACTTGTGATATCCGCACCCACAGTGGCCAGGGCGGGTAGGTTGGGGGAGCAGAAAGCTGCAAACTTCCGGGCGTCCACCTTGGTTGCCCGGTTGCCCCGAAATAGCTGATTCTGGAAGAATAGGCAGACCTGGAGAGGAAAGGACAGGCGCTCAGAGATGGGTCCCATGATGCCCTCCAGCTTCCTCCTCCAATGCCATCATGGGAAACACCCAGACCCAGGGGGCCATCTTGAACCTGCACCCACAGGCAGGTGACCTGCAAGCAGAGACCCTCCAAGATCTCTGCAGATAGCTGCTCCTCTCAGGCACCTCCCTGCCCTGCCCCCTGACCCATGGCAGACCCCAAGCCTGCCAGGCCTGGGGAGCCTTGGCACAGCTGAGCGGGCAGCTGGCCGCAGGGCGAACATCACACTGCCTCTGCCTCTTCTCCGCTGCCTTACCTCCGAGAACTCTGCCCAGAGGCACAGAGAGATGGGTGATTGCAGAAACCTCCCCTCAGTGAACCGGGGTGCGAGGAGCACCCCCACCTCCGAGCTGCTGTCCCTAAAGATGGCTGGATAAGATTTGGCCAGAAGATGGGGCCTGAGACTACCGCCCTAACCCTGATCCTGCCTGCCCAGGAGGGAACCACTGAAGACAAAACAGGCTCCCAGACCAGCCTGTGAAGGACAAGAGGTTTTAAGGTCTTCCTGTAACACCAGGCAATCCGTGATGCTAGGTGTGACAGGGAGTGAGTGATGTGACCAGGAAAGGTAAAAAGCCTCAAACTTACATTGGGTGCAGTCTATTTTCATGGGAACTTACTTACACGCAAATCTACAAACCAAGTGTTAGGTTTACAGAATATAAAATGGGGACACACACACTCTATGCTGCCAACAGTGCTGTCTAGGACTGAGGCTGGGCGGCTTTGTTACCTCTGCTTTATCAGTTTCTCTAGAGGTTTTCCACCACGGTGCTACTTGGAAGGCAAGGGACAAAACTTTAAAGATGGACCCAACCCCTGGCCTGTGGGTCCCACTAAGTGCCACAGGCACCAGCCCCTCCTCTGGGCTCTTGGACACACCAGGATGTAGCACCCACTATCCCACTCTCCTTTGTGGCAACCCCCCACACCAGGCCAGGCCAGGTACCTCAGGGATGACATACTGGCCAGCCATAAGAAGGGCACCCAGTAGGTTGTCACGACCGTCATTCCACAGTGCATGGATGGGTACCTGGGGAGAGACCACAGGGAGAGGGCTGGGACCAGGGCAGGGCCAGACTCCCCTCTCCAGGGAAAGCCCTTAGGCCCAAGGATAGAGAATGGCTGGGACAGACTTGGGCTGAAGAGTGGACTGTGGGGGGAGGGGCAAGTCAGCCCACTTCCAAGGCCACCAACAGTTCCTGGTGAGGACGCCAGCTTGTACATGGAGCCTCAGCCTACCTACCTTGTTCTCCCACAAATTGGTGCCCAGTGGGCAGCCAGGCCCATGTGGCTGCCCAGCCCCAAGGGCACTGCAGCTCCATCACTACCCCGGGATCTGTGAGCCAGGCAGGGTGCCAAAGGGATTGGCTGGATGGGCTACAGTGGAAAGAGGCTTCCCGAAGGAGGCCAGGTACAGCATGGCCAGTCCTTCTGCTGCCTATTTCTGTAGTGGACAGTGCTCTAGCGTGACCAAGCAGCGCCCAGCTCCTCAGCACCCTACTAGAAGAGTGCAGGCGGGTGGGGCTGTTGTGAGGACAGAAGGGGAGCCAGTGTAGGGTCTCTGGAGGCAGGCTCCTCACATGGTGAGTGGCTGCAGGATCACCCTGAGGGCCTGTTTCCTCTTAGGTATAACAGGGATAAGGTTGCTGCATCATAGGTCTTCCCTGAGTGAGGCCATCACTCCATGAGACCCTCTGGGCAACCAGGGAGACTAAGTCAGGGACAGCCTAGCCACCACTCCCAAGAACACCAGCAGCCCTGGCAAGGGGACCTCCCTGGATCTCCCATTGGGTTCTGTGCAAAGGGACAAGTATTGGCTTCTTAGGCACAGACCTCAGCCTCTGCTCTGTAGAGAAGACCCTGAATGGCTTGGGTATGACTGGCCCAATGGCCACTGGCATTTGCTCTTGTGAAGCCACTCTCAGGCAACAGGGACCCAAAGTCAGCCCCTAGCAGGTCCCAATGGGGGTCCAGACTTCCTCTGTCTCCTCCCCTCAAATACAGCAGTTTTCTAGAACATTCCACTGACCTTGGCTTTGAATGTATTAGGTTAGGCCCCCAGGGATAGCATCAGTGGGAACCATGGTGGGAAGAAATGACAGAGGTCTCCCCAGGCCCCCCGACACCTGCTCTGTGTGTGGCTAAGTGGTTTCAGTGACAGCAGATGTGAGAGTCCATTAAAGAGAAGAGGAAAGAATGCCTCCTGTGGCTCTGGGTGCTCCTAAGGCCTCTAGTTGGACAAGACCACAGCAGGCAGAGACTGGTCAGAACGGGCCCCAGACAGTTCAGCAGGAGTGACCTGGCAGTGCACAGCAGGAGCCACCCCCTAGGTAGCTGCTACCCTGAGCAAGCAGCTCTGGTCTGCCCTTGACTCCTGAGGGCCCCCGGTTACCTGGCACCAGTGAGAATGACAGGTTTCCGTAGGTTTTCCAGCACAAAGGAGAGCACAGAGGCTGCGAAGGCCATGGTGTCAGTGCCGTGGATGATCACAAAGCCCTGGTACTGTTCGTAGTGTCTCTGTGGGAGGGGGTGAGCTCAAGGCAGGCCAGGCCCTTCCCACCATGGGCTTCCTCCTGGGACCTGATGGCTGGGGGTGGGGGTGAGGGCAGCAGCCAATCCCCTTTTCCACAAGGAAAGAAAGGAGAGGACCCAGATGCCGGTGGAGGGTCTCAGGAAGGCGCCATGTGATCTACTCCTGCAAGACCAGCAACGCTCTCTGGAAGGCCAGCTGCTGCCTAGCGTGGAAGGCCAGTGCCCCACATCCTTATGGCCCCCCTCAGAGCCTGAGAGAATGTGGTCCCATGGGCTCTGGACACTCTGCTAGGAATGGCCTTCAGAATTCTAGCCAGTGCCTCCTCAAACAGGAATCATCAGCCTGGGGACTCCGTTGGAACTTGGCTCAGTGCTCCAGAGAGCCTATGGATAAGGACTCACTGTCTCCAGGGCAACCAGGGGTGGAGAGGGCTGTGAAAGAGAGCCTCACTGTCCAGGGGGAGGGTCAACGCAAACATACATGACCAACACAAGGCCCAGTCATTGCTGGAAGGCAGCAGGTGGTCTGGTATACTGCCCAGAAAGTAGACATAGGCAGGGGGGCAGGAACTGATGGGCAAATGTGGGGGGAGGAGTTTCTAGGCACAGCAAAAGGCAGAAGCCCTCCTAAGCATGCCGGTCAGGAGTGAACTGGCAGTGCAGGGACACCCTCCCACCTCCTACAGGGCAGCTGGCCCAGGCTGTGGCTGCCAATGGCACAGCTCTTAGAGCCAAGGTGTCTCATACTACACCAGGTCCTCCTGGCCCATTAAAAGATGGCTGGTCAAGCCAGACACCATGGCTCATGCCTGTAATCAGGAGGCTGAAGCAAGAGGATGGAGAGTTTTAAATCCAGCCTGGGCTACACAGTGAGACCCTGCCTCAAAAAAAAAAAAAAGAGAGAGAAATGAAGAAAGGAAAGAAGGAAGGGAGGGAGGAAGGGAAGGAGAGAGGGAGGAATGAAAGAAAGGAAGAGGGAGGAAAGAAGAGGAAGGAGGGAGGGAGGAAGGAAGGGGCCAGGTACAGTAGCTCATACCTGTAATCCCAGCTACTCAGGAGGCAGTGATGAAGAGGATTGCAGTTCGAGGGTAGCTGGGGCAAAAAGTTCTAGAGACCCTCATCTCAACTAATAAGCTAGGCATGGTTGTGCATACCTGTCTCCCCAGCTAGGAGTATCAGAGTCTGAGGCTGGCCCAGACAAAACTATGAGATCCTATCTAAAAATAGTTAAAGCAAAAAAGATCTGTGAGTGTGTCTCAAGTGGCAGAGCGCCTGCCTAGCAAGCACGAAGTCCTTACTTCAAACCCCAAAACTCCAAAAAAGAAAAGAAAAGAAAACAAACAAAAAAGGCGGTGTTCCAGCAACTGCAGCGGAGCTAGCAGGCCTCATGGAGTGGCGTGCCCTCTGCTGGCGAAACAAGGCACAGTCGCAGCCAGAGAAGGCCTTTGTGAGGGTGTGTGGTGACCTGCCATGTGCAGGGACCACAGGACATCATCTGGACCTCAACAAAGTAGTGGGACCCGGTCCAGTGAGTGTGGCCCACCACAAACAGGAGACTGCTCTGGCCCTCCACGACCGGGCCACAGATGTCCAGTGGAGGATCCATTTCTGGAACAGGGACAGGCCCAAGGTCACACACTGTTCTGGACAGTTGTAGGGGTGAAGAGGGAGAGCTGTTTTCTTCCAGGCAAGTGTGTGACTAGAACTGTTTGGAAAAGGTTGGAAGGGGAAACCCTTCCACTCAAGACAGCGGGGGTTTCTGAAGGGAGGAAAGTGAGAAGACCGGCCAGGGTAGCTGAGGCTGGACTTGGGCCATGTACTGATGAGGGGAGAATAGAAAGGAAAAGCTGACAGAGTGGGCAGCTCTGGCCACAGGTTAAGACAGTTCACCCCACGCTGCAAACCCGCCCAGACGCTGGGAGGATTCTCTGTTCCTAGATCCATTAAGACAGCAACTTCAGGATACAGGGGTAGAGAGAGGTGGCCAAGGCACGGTGGGCTAGCCAGTCACCACACGTCCCACTAACTGGGATAAGCCAACTGTGTGAGCAAACCAAGCTGGCTCACCAGGAAGGTGAACATGGCCTCAGTGCTCACCATCCGTCTGCATGGGGGAAAGGGCCCAGAACTTTGCACCACAGTGTGGCCTGATGACCTTTCTGGAGGCTGCCACTCCCAAATACTGCCAGATCTCAGGCTCGGCAGGCCCACTCCACCACAAGCTCCCAGCTCTTTTGCCCCAGAGGGCTTCTGCCAGTGGGCCTGTCCAACCCTATAGCCCTTCTCAGATTCCAGCCCCTTCCAGTGCTCCACAGCCCTGTCCACACCCACAGTCCCACCCTGCAGCCCCACCCAGCCCTCTGGCCACACCCACGTGCCACAGCCATGCCCATGGACCATAACTCCACCCCCACAGCACACCCCAGCCCCTCTCAGGACTCCACAGTCCTACCCATAACCCCAAGCCCCAGCCTCCGTCTTCCAGTCCCACCCACACTCCACTCTGCCCTTCCACCAGGCTACCTCTATGATCTGGGCAATCTGAACCCACTCAGTGATGGTCATGTCACTGGAGTCCAAGAGGGGCTGGCACTCCAGCACTGTGTAGATGATCCTCTGGTCAGAACTGGCAGGGCTGCAGAAGGCAGAGCATGGATCCCCTTCCTCCCCATTTCCGACTCAAAGCCCCCAACCCACTCCACTCGTCCCTGGCCCAGCTGGTGCCCCTCCACATAGGGGTGTCTGTGAGTGGGCTCTGTACATGGACATGATTTCAACATCCTGAGACAGGGATCATGTGTCTAAGAGATGGACAGACCACTCCTGAGCAGTGTCACCTCGTATACTAGCTCCGGGGGGGGGGGCGGGGGGGGAGGATGACAAAGAACACAGGAGTCAGGGAAATTAGCCACAGCAAGGCAACTCCAGCTCAGTCTCCCTGCTGTGAAGGGCACCAGACAGCTGAGCCAATGTTAAGAGACAGAGGATGGCCATGCTGGGAAGGGAGAGGCCACCAGGGTTAGCCAGCCTGTCCCTAGACAGGCTGTCCCTTCCCTGCGGGCTCAGGGAGGTTAAGGGGAGGAAGAGAGGAAGGAAGATGGGCCCCATAATCAGAGGTCTTGGTGCATCTTAGTGCACAGACCCAGATTTGGAAGGAAGGCGGCAGTAGGTTCGCCCTAAAGCCCCATTAAAGTGGTAAGTGTCAGAGATATCTTATGCAAATGGCTCCATGGAAGTGCTGGGGCACTGACCAATCTCAGGATCTTCCCACCCCTTTGCCCCAGGACAACCAGCAGCCATCACCTTCCAAGATCCGCAAAGGAGCCCACACTCACGGCAGCATCAGGGTGTCCTCAGGGAGACCACAGGCCCGGGCATACGCCTCATCATGGAACATGGGCAGTGTCTTCAGGACAGCAGCCAGGCCCCTCCCAGGGACAAGCACTGCAAGCAGAGTCCAGGCAGAATGTGAGGTCAGAGCCTGCAGCCACAGCCCCCTTCTTTCCCTCCTGGGTTCCAGGACCTGGGCAGAGGCAGGGGGAAGGACCTGGTTCGGGCCACAGTGCCGACTGAGACTCTCCAACTGATGGGCAGCTATGCTTTCTGCAAGCCATGGCTTCCTCTCTTGGAGACAACACTGATTCTGAGGCAGGATAGCGATAAAGATCTGAGGACTGGTTGGGGCCATAAGGCACAGCTTTTCCCAGCACATTTCATGCTAAACTCCTTCTCTCAACCCAATACTATCCTTTGCAGTTGTAAATTTCTTTTCAATTGCAAATCCTTTGCAGTTGTAAGACAGGAAGCCTTGAGGAAATTGCCTCAATTACTTCAGGTAAAAGCCCCTTGCTTAAAACATGAATACTGATCACACCTCATACATGTAATTAAAATACTTGAGAGCTTGCCTAAGTGTATGTGCAGAGTGCCCCATGTTGTACGAAAGACCTTGTTAATCAAACCTGCCAATCACCTTAGCCCATCCTGCAAAGACCACCCAGACTCTTCCCGCCCTTTCAATTTACAAAGGCCAATTGAAACAAAGGGTGCACAGTAACATCACTACTTTCTCTATGGTAACTTCCCCTCACTTTCAATAAACATTACACAAATGCCGAGGAGTCTTAGAACCTTTAGAAGCCACTCATCGTATCAATTCCACATCTCTAACCCAAACTGCCTCAGGTGCTCTGCCTGTTACTCTACCTGAGGCAGACTAGACATTAGGGAAAACTTGGAGATTTAAAAAAACATACAGCCTGATTTAGAGCACCTTGCTCACCCCTTCCTTACCCTTTCCCTCTGAGCCCAGAGAGCTCCATTTCAACTGCAAATCCTTTAAGTTAGAGTGGAATTTCCTCCCACATGGACTTAGGGTACCTGAGAATTAGCCTAGGTGCATGCATGAGTACGCCCAGATCTTCCCAGCCTGAAGGCCACTGGAGATGGGGAGTGACAAGGGTTTTCTCCCCACCTTCAAGTTAAGGATAATATAAAAATTACCTAAAATTAAAATTCACCTAGCAGAGACCACACCTGTAATCTCCTTTCCCCTTTCCTGTAATAAAACTCTATTATTTCACTCAACTACATCCACTTGTCCTGCCTGGATGGTTCCATGTAGGACGCAAGGAATTTTGGAAGTCTCTGATTAGAGACAAGTCTAAGGCGAGCCAGCCAGTAGTAGGAGGGTGAGATGCTAGACTCTGTTTCAAGACGTCATTTCTACTGTCTTCTTTTCTTCTCCTTGTTCTCCAACTGCCTCTACCTTCCTCCACTTCCATCGTTGTTCTCAGCCACCGAATGCTTCAGAGCTGAGCGCCACCCACAGCTTGGGGTCACATGACCTTGTGCCAGAGGGTTGCTGCATCCCACTGTTACCTCTGGGAGAGACATCTCATTCCAAGGCCTACAGGGAACACATGCCCCAGCAGATGGTCCATGTTAATCTTCAGTATCTCTCTGCTCAATGCACCAGCAGCTCACAGCACAGAGTATTCTGCACAGGAAATGTGGCTGGGAGATGCTGGGCCACGCTGTCATCCCACTCCCCTCCTGGGTTGTGAGGGAGAGGCATTGTGTTCCCTTTTCTCTGTTTCTGTATCTATCACTTGAAACATTAATCTTGTTGGTTTATTATTATTATTACCTTTTTAGAAAATTTTCTTGTTCCCCCATTCTTCTCAGTTTGCAAGTTGATTACAACCCTGTGGCCAGGTGTGCACACAGGCTGCTGGTTCTTCCCTCACGGTCACAGAATCCTGAGCTCTCTGCCCACAATTTCACACAACAGGGAGCAAAAGTCTCTGGTCTTAAGAAAACTGAGGGGGCCGTGGGTGGGCATGACCACTTCCTTGACTCTTCATAGGTGTTCATTTTGATGGCCTTTGTAAAAGTAAGTGCCCCAACACACAATATAACCAGGCTTTACTTCCCAACCCTATGTAATAAATGGCATTAAACAATAAAGTCATCTTGCATCTTTTTTTTAAAAAAATAGTTCCTCAATTCTCCCCAAAAGATTTTCTAATACTGCTTGGACCAGATGCTCCAGATGTTCCTCTTGTACTGAGGAACTTTTTCCCCATTATTGACTCCTAGCTTCCATCAGCCAAGCTTATCTTAATATAGTTAGAATTTGGAAGTTATTTCTTTACTGGTTGCAAAGAGTTTGTATTAAGATGCTTTTTTTTTTTTTTTTAACTCTCAGCAAATTGTCTTTGTTTATATTGTTATCCTTCTTATGTTACATGTTGCTTTTGATATCAGCCTGACTCTTTGCCCAATATATGATAGTTCTGCTGATGTTTTGCTTACTGGCAAACATATATTCATTAAGAGTTTTTGAAAATCTCATCAAACTCAATGAATAAAATCTCTCCATAATTCATTTGAAATTATTTACTACATTCTTTGCATCTTTCCTAAATTAATCTCTTGCCATACACAAGAACTGAGGTATTTTTCCAGGAACACTGAGGAAACAGTTTAAACTAAGTAAAGATTCTTTTAAGTTGTTCTAATACAGCTAGTGCATGTATGTGTAACTAAATGCTGTGAAATCATTTACAAAGCTAAAGGTATTTACATAAAATAAACAACTACGGTTCTTTTATCTAAGGTACATTGTATTGAATAAGGTCTTTGACATTTCTATTTATGACAAATACTAAGAGGTCTGCCATTTAGGCCTGTCATCTGTTGTCTTGGCTAGATAAACATTGTTATATGTACCCAAAATATACAATTGAGCATTAAAACAGGGGCTATTTGGGATTACTGAGTCTGCCTTCCTCTAACTGATGGGAAATCCAGGGTTTTGATTTTGTCAGTGCTGTCTGTTATTTTACCTAACCAAAATTCAAGGTTTAAACTATGATGCCAACTGTTACTGGCTCCTTCATATGTTAGGTATATTTGTGTTCTTCAAGTACATAAGCCTCCTAAAATAGAGTTGTAAAAAGACACTGTACTTAGCTGGTGTCCTAGTCTTTTGCAAGTTTGTGCATATATTCCTAATTGTTTTTTTTTTTTTTTTTACCTTGTCTCTTTTATTTCAAGAAACTACATAGATATTGTATTAAGAAATCAAGTTGTGTTTTGAATCCTCATGAGTAAGATTTGTTAGGTTTAAGTAGTAGCATATTTTCTTTGTTTTATACATTGTGCAAAAGTACACATAAAATGTACCATCTTTTTTTTTTTTTTAATGGTATGTGAGATACATTTTTTTTTCATTTTTCTTTTATTATTCATATGTGCATACAAGGCTTGGTTTATTTCTTCCTAATTGTAATAAGAGAGATTTAGTAATACTGTATACAATAGAAGTAATTAGACTGTTATGTTAATTGCTAAACTGTTAGCCATGGTTATTTTAAGTTTGTCATTACAGTTCTGATCCTTCTAAAACATTTACAGACAAGCCCATGGAAAATGACACTGACAAGTACTTATCTGTCAACCAAGTCAGACATTCTTAAGTACTGGGGTTGTTTTGTACTTTCCTTGTAAAATTTTATAACTGGTGACATTTTACAACATTTAAAAAATGCCAGTACATCCTCTATAGAACAGACAAAATTAGACTTAATTAGGCCCAGCCTAAGAGTCACTGTTTTTTTTGGCCAGAAAGGTCTCATTGGCACTGCCTTCCATCTGACCTGTCTGTTGAGCTATTTCCCCTCCAACATGGGACCAGAACAGACTTTCCAGGAGAAAGCTACTCCTGACAATAAGGGACCAACTTGCCTAATGGGCAAAATATTCAAAAACAACTGGTAAAAAAAACAGTTTAAAACAAAACTGTCATTTTTTTTTAAACAAAACTGGAGAACAGGAGGGCAGAACAGGTTCTGTCTGAGGGGTTGATACCAGTGAGGGGAGGGATGTGGAGAATGCATGTAGGAGGGGGAATATGGTGCAAATACTATGTACACATATATGTAATCAGAAAAATGAGACCTGCTGAAACTATTCCAGGAATGAGGGGAGGGGAAGATAAAGAAGAATGATGGAGGGGTGAATTCAACTATGACGTATTCGATATATTGTAAACCCTTCTGTAAATGTCCCAATGTACCCCCAACATGACAATTTCAAAATTAAAAAAAAACAGTTTAACAGGACTACAGTTTCAAAAGGCTACACAAAAGAGGGAACGTCCTCTGGATCTAAATGGAGTCATTTATTCCAGACCTCTAAAAGTAACCAAAACTGAGAGGTTTTTAAAAAGACGGGTTCTGACACGTGCTATCTGGTATTAAAACCATCCAGGCTTCTGGTGAAAGGCAAACTCACGTTTTTGGCTAGGGTCTTCTGTTTCAGCAAAGGCAATACAACCATTTCTACAACTCCAGGTCTGTCCTTTAACAATTCATGCTCATAGAGTTGTCTACTCTCGCTTACATTCGACTTTGTAATGGTATTCAGCTTCTGCTCAGAGACACTGTGAGTCTTCTTTCTGTATAGAACTGACTCCTATTGCTATTTACCCTCTAACTGTACAGGCACCTTCCCGTACTACACCTGGCTCCTAATGTAAATATTGCCTCAAATAATCAGTCCTTACTATAACCACCCTACAGTAGCAGTCTGTACAAAAAGGGTCACTCAACTCATCCTCCTCCTACTTGGGTTAGGAATAGCTATAGGTATAAATACATACGTATATATAATATATGTATATATATTATATATATATATAAAAGAATAAACAATGAACTCTCTGATGGTTGTCACTTTTCAAAATAAAAAATTAGAACCTCTGACAGCTAAAAATGATAGCTTTGTCTTGTTCCTAGAAAAAAGGGTGTCGTTTACATGGTTTAAGATTTAAAATTGTACATCCTGGTTATTGCACCTGGCAGGGTCCCTTCCGATGTTCCTATCGATGCTTACGTTCAGGTCTTCTAAACTTTAGTTACTCAGATTTCTCTCTTCCA